GCTGCATCACTGCTGCTGACAGTCGCTAACATCTGCTCAAATTTGTTTCGATGGTGACCAAAGATAGGTGGACCACCAGTGAACATCTCCGGGGGAGTGCTGATACTTTTTGCACGATGCATCGAGGTTGTGTGCTTCGTACCCATTTTTATATATATATTTTTTACATTTGGCTGAACACGTGCACGATAAATGTCCAAAGATCCAGTTGACGTGATGATCTTACCGGGTAAATCTAGTCAACCAAAACGACGGTGATGTTGCTGTAGAATGAGGTTAGTTAGTTTTAAAGCGAGTTGGAACTTGGTCGATGATTACCTCCACAGGCATGTTTCTCTGCTACACCCCGTGGTTAGACTGGCTTCCGGATGAATGTTTTGAGCAACTCCCTAGTTGAAGAAATGTAATAATTTGTATCTGTATTTAAAGGTGAAACTGTTGGGGTTGCTGCGTTTTGTAATCTGGTCGAGGGATCTCTGTGACCAGATTTATATCCACTTTATTGACACCGGCACGAGTTAGGGGCTGGTCTTTCTGGAACGTCTTGTAATCTGGATAATGTATCATATTGTATTCGTGACATTTTCCTGTGTACAACCCTTAGCCGGTGGTGACAATTCGACATTCCTTTGGCGGGGGTGGCGAGTCTATGCAAAGCACAAACGCTGTTGACTTCCCCACAAAAGTGGCACCTAATTTGATGACCCTGAAAGAATAATGGGCCGAGAAAACCCCCCCCCCCCCCAACCATCACTTGAAGTCTCAACCTTCTTCTCGCGGGCCGCTCGCAGAACCACCCTGGGTACTCTGAAGGGGAACATTCTGCATGTGGCTCACAAATTATGAATGGCGGTGGCGGTAGCACCCGCTGGGTGGTGCAGCTGCCGTTCACGCGAGCGGGCTGGCGGGGGGGCTGGCTGGGTGGGGGCTGGGTGGGCACCGCGGGTGGCCGCTCCGCACGTGGCTCACGCCATCTGTCAGTTGCGTCCGAGCCCTCTGTGATGTTCACGAGCCGCTCATCCCAGTTGCTGTGTAACGCCTACGGGGCGGGGTGGGGAGGGGGGGAAATGACACGGCGACATCGCAGTGACATCACGCCTGCCCGCCCTCTCGCGCTAATTAATATTCATGACGTCGTGCCTTTAGCCGTGACAATTGGGGCTCCAAGGCAGGCAGCGCCCAAGACTTAAGAGGAGCCAAAAGACACGGTGGGTGGAACTTATCAGCGTGTTGCTTCGATCCGCTTGGCTGCTTTGTTTTAACTAGTTTTTATAACGTGTTATTACTGTCGTGCGAATAACGTAACACATTGAGACGTTGCTTGTCCAGTAACGCCTTCTGCTCACTGCTCATGCTCTCTATCTCTCTCTCGCTCTGCATGGGAAAAGGAAATGTACTTTCAGACTCAACGTTAGTCCGCTGTTCCGCAGCATTAGTGGCCATTATCCCCAGGACCCTGCCCTTTTAGACAAAATTTGGTTACAAGATATATCCGTGCGTAACGCTAATGGACGGAAACGGAGTGAGCTTGTACATCAAACGATGGGCAAACCTGAGACGTAGCAGAGGAACACGCAGCGCTGAAGGATGCATCTTGTTTACATCCATTGAACATTGACAGCAAAGCTGCGTTACAAATGATGGCGCCCAAATTTGAAAGGGTTAAAGTGTAATGAACGCGTGCTTAGCGACAGAGAAATGAAAACGTGATTCTTAGTCCGAGTGGTTTGCATTTCAAGAAGCCTTTGGGGTAAGAACATTGGAGTATAATTGGTTGCCATCGCAGCCATTGAAATAAAGTCTTTATTCTTACAAAGTCCGCGTAAGTTCTGGTTGAAGTCGCTCAGACAGGATCTCTCATCCCTGGTCACGGTTATTTGCTGAACGAGGTGAGAACTCGCAAGACCAGGATTGTCTCATTTGCAAGGGTGACCCAGAGCAATCGTCTGCCAGTAGGGAGCGATTATCGCTCTGTAAGATCTAAATTGAGTCGTATGCAGGTACATTTTCACATTTCGAAAAATTGGATCCTGATGCCGGCACACGATGATGGCCTACCTATGCGAATGTCATCAGGGGATCTTTAACGTCTTATGTCAAGCAGATGGTGCATATGATCATTTAAGTTATTACACCCGCAGTATTAATCAGGGTGACCGCTGATTTCGAACCGTGACGCTTTGCAACGGCAGCGAACAGTCTTGATCGGTCTCGTTTTTTTACAGTTTGCTGGTAAATAAACATCACCATCGCGGCATCTGCAGACCTCAGCACATGCGTCAAATAACTCTGCCTTAAGAGGTCGTATATGCATAATGGGTGAAGTTTTTGGGAAATCATCCCTTACAGCGTATGTTTTTTTTTCCTTTTAAGGCAGTGTTATTGATGCACGTGAATGTATTGCTATTTGTGCTTGTACACCCACCGCCAACGCAGCAGCAACATCACCAAATAATTTGTTTAATCTGTAGACTTGCGTTGCTGCCAAGCCAGCAATGCAGGGAGTGTGGCCGGCTTTGCCATCAGTGGTCGCTCCTACAGCTGTGGGTAAGTGGTGTACCAACCACTTGGGCTGTCAGATCTTATCTTATATAGTACCTTGTTCCAAGGTGCTTTACAGCAATTATACAACTCTACATACTATGGCAGTGGTTGACGTAAAGAGTGGGGTTATTAATAGTGGTGGTGTAGTTGTGGTAACAGGAGAATGCGTGGGAGAGGTTAAGGAGGGGTTAGGGTCGTGATAGTGGTTGGGGTAGTGATAAGGGTTGGGGTAGTGATAGTGGTTGGGGTATTGATTGGGGTTATGGTCATGATAGTGGTTGGGGTAGTGATAGGGGTTGGGGTAGTGATAGGGATAGTAATTGGGGTAGTGATTGGGGTAGTGATTGGGGTAGTGATTGGGGTAGTGATTGGGATAGTGATAGGGGTTGGGATAGTGATAGGGGTTGGGGTAGTGATAGTGGTTGGGGTAGTGATAGTGGTTGGGGTAGTGATAGGGGTTGGGGTAGTGATAGGGGTTGGGTTAGTGATAGGGGTTGGGTCAGTGATAGGGGTTGGGTCAGTGATAGGGGTTGAGGTAGTGATAGTGGTTGGGTAGTGATAGGGGTTGGGGTAGTGATAGTGGTTGGGTTAGTGATAGGGGTTGGGGTAGTGATAGGGGTTGGGGTAGTGATAGTGGTTGGGTTAGTGATAGTGGTTGGGTAGTGATAGGGGTTGGGGTAGTAATAGTGGTTGGGTTAGTGATAGTGGTTGGGTTAGTGATAGAGGTTGGGGTAGTGATAGGGGTTGGGGTAGTGATAGTGGTCGGGTTAGTGATAGTGGTTGTGGTAGTGGTTTGGTTAGTGATAGGGGTTGGGGTAGTGATAGGGGTTGGGGTAGTGATAGGGGTTGGGTTAGTGATAGGGGTTGGGGTAGTTTTCAGAAGCGACCTGGCCACAAATGATAGGTCAACTTAGTGGCTTATCATTTGGAAATGTATTACAGCAAAATACTCCCAAGATAAATCCACTCAACCACAGGGAGAGAGAGAGACAGAATCGAACCCATGTTCCTCCTGCATGCCAGGCGAGGTAGTTGACATCTCACATTGCTCGAAACGGGGCTGGACGATGGCCAAGAATAATAACAGAGTGGCAACTGAGGAATGGAACACGTCCAAAGGGTCGTCCACAAAGCAGATGAAGCAATGAAATCGGTTATGTGCAGGTGCTGGGTGCATCGTTACATCAAATGTTACTGAGATGTGGCAGTGGCTTGGGGAGGCCTTCATCCAGCAGTGGACTGATCATGTTTCTTAGCACACTGCGCTACAAAATCGGCAGCCCAGTTCAATTCCCACTCACTACCAACAAAACGTATGGAACTCCCTTGTTTAGTTTAAGTTCAAATTGAATGGAGTGTCCGTGTTGGTGGTGGCGTGCAACCACGAATATAAAAACACACCACTCTTGGTAATACTGCCACAGCACCATTATCTCTAACTGTATGTTTTCCCATTGCTTAAACTGCTTTCACAAGGAATGCGGTCGGTTGGTAATGTTAAGCTAGAGGTGACCGGGTGGCTACAGGAACTGAACTATTCACCCTGTGCCAGCCGGCTTGTGGCGAGCGTTCTGACCGCTGTGCGCCGTTCTTTCCATCTGTTACGTGCGAGGCGGGAGGGTGGCGGCAAATCTGAGCGTCGATTCTCAGCATCAGCCAACATCCGTGACCAATGACATTTTGAACCACCGGACCTGCTTCTGGTTTGACCAACCCACGCTGACCAGCATAGTGAAGTATGGTCAAACAACCCCCCCGTGACCGACACGGTGATCGGGAGGTCTTCAATCGTTCTTGACGACCGATGGATAAGAGTGTAACAGTAAGGTCGGGATCCATAGTGACCTCGTGACTACGCTGGTCAGTGCGAGTTTGATACGGTGGGTGGCTGTTGCAGTGGGAGTGGCCAGGTTAGGGTCGCTGGGTTCATTTTGCAGCGCACTGAGCACTGCGCCTCTGCTCCCTTACACAGTGACTCTGCAAACCACAGCAATGGGGTTGCAGAAATTAGGAGTGTTTGCACAACTTTCCTGCAAATGCGAATCGGAGCCAGCCGACCGGCGTGTTGGGCATCAGGGGTCTTGCTGCGTCGCCCGCTTGGAGTTGCCCTGTCGGCCGTGTGCTGCGGTCGCCCTGAGTCACCGGAACATTTGTTAGGGAGCCCCCATGAACGCGAGCTGGGCAGTCAGCGTGGCCACAGCACCAGCGTCCATGGATCCGTTCACACCGCACCCGCGCTTCCGATTAACACGGTTGGCTACGCACGGTGTGGAAGAAGTTCAACTCGCGTACGTACATTCCATCCGGTAGTTTTCCCGGGGAAGTGACTTCCCAAAGCAATGCCATCTGCTTAATGAACAGCGTCACGGGGTCTCAACTCAACCAGGCTCAGCCGAGTGGCGGCGACTGCGGTGCTCGCTCTGACATCTCGTGACGTTTCTCTCGTGTGCCTTCAGCTCGCCAGTTGGAAACCGCAGCCCGTGCACCAGGACCAGGCTCGGTTGCGACTCCTCGTCAGGCTCGGTTGCGACTCCTCGTCAGGCTCGGTGTGACTCCTCGTGCCTCCACCGCCACGGCAGCGACGCAACGGTGACTTCATCAAGCAACCACTCGCGCGATTTACCTACGAGTCACACAGCATCCACCTACTATACACAGTGATTCACTCACACGCAGCATGCACCTACTATACACAGTGATTCACTCACAGAGCATGAACCTACTATACACAGTGATTCACTCACACGCAGCATCCACCTACTATACACAGCGATTCACTCACACGCAGCATCCACCTACTATACACAGTGATTCACTCACACGCAGCATGCACCTACTATACACAATGATTCACTCACACAGCATGCACCTACGATACACAGTGATTCACTCACACACACCATCCGCCTACTATACACAGTGATTCACTCACACACAGCATCCGCCTACGATACACAGTGATTCACTCACACACACCATCCACCTACTATACACAATGATTCACTCAGAGCATCCGCCTACGATACACAGCGATTAACTCGCACAGCATCCACCTACTATACACAGCGATTCACTCACACACACCATCCACCTACTATACACAGCAATTCACTCACACAGCATGCACCTACTATACACAGTGATTCACTCACACGCAGCATGCACCTACTATACACAGTGATTTACTCACACAGCATCTGCCTACGATACACAGTGATGCACTCACACACAGCATCCACCTACTATACACAGTGATTCACTCACACGCAGCATCCACCTACTATACACAGTGATTCACACACACAGCATCCACCTACTATACACTGTGATTCACTCACACACAGCATCCACCTACTATGCACAGTGATTCACTCACACACAGCATCCACCTACTATACACAGTGATTCACTCACACACAGCATCCACCTACTATACACAGTGATTCACTCACACACAGCATCCACCTACTATACACAGTGATTCACTCACACACAGCACCCACCTACTATACACAGTCATTCACTCACACACACCATCCACCTACTATACACAGTGATTCACTCACACAGCATCCACCTATTATACACAGTCATTCACTCACACACAGCATCCACCTACTATACACAGTGATTCACTCACACATAGCATCCCCTTACTATACACAGTGATTCACTCACACACAGCATCCACCTACTATGCACAGTGATTCACTCACACACAGCATCCACCTACTATACACAGTGATTCACTCACACACAGCATCCACCTACTATACACAGTGATTCACTCACACACAGCATCCACCTACTATACACAGTGATTCACTCACACACAGCATCCACCTACTATACACAGTGATTCACTCACACACAGCATCCACCTACTATACACAGTGATTCACTCACACACACCATCCACCTACTATACACAGTGATCCACTCACACAGCATCCACCTACTATACACAGTGATTCACTCACACACAGCATCCACCTACTATACACAGTGATTCACTCACACGCAGGATCCACCTACTATACACAGTGATTCACTCACACACAGCATCCACCTACTAAGCACACAGTGATTCACTCACACACAGCATCCACCTACTATACACAGCGATTCACTCACACACAGCATCCACCTACTATACACAGTGATTCACTCACACACAGCATCCACCTACTATACACAGTGATTCACTCACACACAGCATCCACCTACTATACACGGTGATTCACTCACACACAGCATCCACCTACTATACACAGTGATTCACTCACACACAGCATCCACCTACTATACACAGTGATTCACTCACACACAGCATCCACCTACGATACACAGTGATTCACTCACACACAGTATCCACCTACTATACACAGTGATTCACTCACACCATTCATCTACTATACACAGTGATTCACTCACACACAGTATCCACCTACTATACACAGTGATTCACTCACACGCAGCATCCACCTACTAAGCACACAGTGATTCACTCACACCATTCATCTACTATACACAGTGATTCACTCACACATAGCATCCCCTTACTATACACAGAGATTCACTCACACACAGCATCCACCTACTATACACAGTGATTCACTCACACACAGCATCCACCTACTATACACAGTGATTCACTCACACACAGCATCCACCTACTATACACAGTGATTCACTCACACATAGCATCCCCTTACTATACACAGTGATTCACTCACACACAGCATCCACCTACTATGCACAGTGATTCACTCACACACAGCATCCACCTACTATACACAGTGATTCACTCACACACATCATCCACCTATTATACACAGTCATTCACTCACACACAGCATCCACCTACTATACACAGTGATTCACTCACACATAGCATCCCCTTACTATACACAGTGATTCACTCACACACAGCATCCACCTACTATGCACAGTGATTCACTCACACACAGCATCCACCTACTATACACAGTGATTCACTCACACACAGCATCCACCTACTATACACAGTGATTCACTCACACACAGCATCCACCCACTATACACAGTGATTCACTCACACACAGCACCCACCTACTATACACAGTCATTCACTCACACACACCATCCACCTACTATACACAGTGATTCACTCACACAGCATCCACCTATTATACACAGTCATTCACTCACACACAGCATCCACCTACTATACACAGTGATTCACTCACACATAGCATCCCCTTACTATACACAGTGATTCACTCACACACAGCATCCACCTACTATGCACAGTGATTCACTCACACACAGCATCCACCTACTATACACAGTGATTCACTCACACACAGCATCCACCTACTATACACAGTGATTCACTCACACACAGCATCCACCTACTATACACAGTGATTCACTCACACACAGCATCCACCTACTATACACAGTGATTCACTCACACACAGCATCCACCTACTATACACAGTGATTCACTCACACACACCATCCACCTACTATACACAGTGATCCACTCACACAGCATCCACCTACTATACACAGTGATTCACTCACACACAGCATCCACCTACTATACACAGTGATTCACTCACACGCAGGATCCACCTACTATACACAGTGATTCACTCACACACAGCATCCACCTACTATACACAGTGATTCACTCACACGCAGCATGCACCTACTAAGCACACAGTGATTCACTCACACACAGCATCCCCTTACTATACACAGTGATTCACTCACACACAGCATCCACCTACTAAGCACACAGTGATTCACTCACACACAGCATCCACCTACTATACACAGCGATTCACTCACACACAGCATCCACCTACTATACACAGTGATTCACTCACACACAGCATCCACCTACTATACACAGTGATTCACTCACACACAGCATCCACCTACTATACACGGTGATTCACTCACACACAGCATCCACCTACTATACACAGTGATTCACTCACACACAGCATCCACCTACTATACACAGTGATTCACTCACACACAGCATCCACCTACGATACACAGTGATTCACTCACACACAGTATCCACCTACTATACACAGTGATTCACTCACACCATTCATCTACTATACACAGTGATTCACTCACACACAGTATCCACCTACTATACACAGTGATTCACTCACACGCAGCATCCACCTACTAAGCACACAGTGATTCACTCACACCATTCATCTACTATACACAGTGATTCACTCACACAGCATCCCCTTACTATACACAGAGATTCACTCACACACAGCATCCACCTACTATACACAGTGATTCACTCACACACAGCATCCACCTACTATACACAGTGATTCACTCACACACAGCATCCACCTACTATACACAGTGATTCACTCACACATAGCATCCCCTTACTATACACAGTGATTCACTCACACACAGCATCCACCTACTATGCACAGTGATTCACTCACACACAGCATCCACCTACTATACACAGTGATTCACTCACACACAGCATCCACCTATTATACACAGTCATTCACTCACACACAGCATCCACCTACTATACACAGTGATTCACTCACACATAGCATCCCCTTACTATACACAGTGATTCACTCACACACAGCATCCACCTACTATGCACAGTGATTCACTCACACACAGCATCCACCTACTATACACAGTGATTCACTCACACACAGCATCCACCTACTATACACAGTGATTCACTCACACACAGCATCCACCTACTATACACAGTGATTCACTCACACACAGCATCCACCTACTATACACAGTGATTCACTCACACACAGCATCCACCTACTATACACAGTGATTCACTCACACACCATCCACCTACGATACACAGTGATTCACTCACACAGCATCCACCTACTATACACAGTGATTCACTCACACACAGCATCCACCTACTATACACAGTGATTCACTCACACGCAGGATCCACCTACTATACACAGTGATTCACTCACACACAGCATCCACCTACTATACACAGTGATTCACTCACACGCAGCATGCACCTACTAAGCACACAGTGATTCACTCACACACAGCATCCCCTTACTATACACAGTGATTCACTCACACACAGCATCCACCTACTAAGCACACAGTGATTCACTCACACAGCATCCACCTACTATACACAGCGATTCACTCACACACAGCATCCACCTACTATACACAGTGATTCACTCACACACAGCATCCACCTACTATACACAGTGATTCACTCACACACAGCATCCACCTACTATACACGGTGATTCACTCACACACAGCATCCACCTACTATACACAGTGATTCACTCACACACAGCATCCACCTACTATACACAGTGATTCACTCACACACAGCATCCACCTACGATACACAGTGATTCACTCACACACATTATCCACCTACTATACACAGTGATTCACTCACACCATTCATCTACTATACACAGTGATTCACTCACACACAGTATCCACCTACTATACACAGTGATTCACTCACACGCAGCATCCACCTACTAAGCACACAGTGATTCACTCACACCATTCATCTACTA